GGATTCTATGTGCTAACCACAGAGCAAACCATGCCTCCAGCACCGAACGTACCAGTGCCGGGCTGCGATAGGATGTTTAGAGCGTCCAACAGCGTTGTGTCCCCCGCTACCCTATAGATTGAACCGGTCCACTGGCATAGGTTAGGCAAGATTTTGTTTCTTCTTTTTTCCTTTTATTTTGTGTGGATTTTTGTTTCATTTTTCAAAATAATTAAATGTTTAGGTAATTTGAAAATGTATTTTATATTATTTCCATGATATTTTAAAAGTTGTTCACATATATTCAAAGTATATGTTCGTTAAATTTTGTGAATTTAAAATGTGTGACATTTTAAAAAGTACTCACATAACTTTAAAATATTTTTCCGTATGTTCTCAAATGTCCATAAAATTTGAAAGAAGTGTTCATGAATTCTAAAAAGTGTCCATGCTTCTAAACTTTTCATGTAGTTAAAAACCATCTTCATCTACTTAAATACAGTGTTCAGTCATTAAAAAATATTCATAAAAATAATTCATGTATTTATAAGTAAGTGCACACATATGTGAGGAAAAAATCATGAAAGTGTTCGTGAGATATTTAAAAGCGTTCATACACTTTTAAAGAAATGTTTGTGTATTTGTCGGAAAAGGGTGCATTTAATATACATATATGTTGGTTAGCAATTATTCTTGAAAAAAAATAAAAACCTAGGAAAATGAAAATATCAGAAAAATAATAAAGTAAAAAAAAATTAAAACATCTGAAGGATGAGTGAAAGAGGGAGAATGAACCTTCTCCTTTCTTGGGTGGACTTTTTTTTCTTGCTTGGTTTATTTCATGCTGGGATGGGTTTATCGTCCTTGATTTTGGTGGTGGAGTTTATCCGGATGGCGGTCTACGAGGCAGCTCTCCGGCGGGCTCCGTGGTGGCGGTGGTGGTTGTGCTTTGTCGTGTGGGGAACAAGGGGTGTAGGGGTTGGTGGTCCTGGCTCGTGCTCTTCTGGTAGAGGGGGGCGATGCCTAGATCTGGATCGGATGGTCTGGTCCTTGACATGGTTGTGGCTTAGGTGCCCAGTGGTGCAGGTAACGATCCGAGCAAACGCTTCACGCTTCTACGGCGGTGCCCGCGGCTGTATGTTCCTCCTTAGGAGATCGTCGTGGATCCATCGCCTTACGAGCACTCCTAGTGAAAACCCTAGTCTGCGAGCCTGGCAACGGTGACGCTTCCTGTCGTGACCCTCATGGGGGCGCTTGGTGAAGCTTAGGTGTCGGTTGTCGAATCGTGGCGGTGGATTTAGGTCATCGTGTGCTCTCTTCCGACACAGTCTTCGCGTCAATATCTTTTCTTTTTTGGCACAATTTCTCTAGTCAAGTGTTATTTTTGGCATTTTCTTTTCTTTTTTTGGCACGATTTCGACATAGTCTTAGGGTTTAGGGTTCCTCATCACCTTGTATCGTTGTGTCTTACTTTATATATAAAACAGGGTAAAAATCATGTTTTGAGAGAGCACAAAAGAAATTATTTAGCAGTTGCACATATTTACGGTTAGTTTTGTTGGTGTCTTTGTAGGTCGACACGTAACTGGATAAATTGATTATGAAGTAAAAAAGAACCGGTAGCACTAGTTTTTTGAACAAAATATTTCACAAAATATTTTTGTTATTTATTAGCACCATCAAATATGCACCTTTAGAAAATGTGTTAATATGAAAAATATTGTTTATTATGCAATAAATTGGATATATACGAGTAAACATAGTCAACACGTGATAAAATAAATACTTAACAATTGGAATGCAATAAGGACGAAACCATTGTAAAACACTGCTTTTAAAGTACATCAATGTCTAAAATATTATGTATTATGCAATAAAGTGGATAAATAAGAGTAAAAATTCAACTCAGGATACAAATATTACTTAAGACACAATAAGGACGATGCTCTCGCAAAATACACCATTAGAAGTATAATAACATCTAAAATATTGTGTGTTATGCAATAAAGTGGAAAAAATAGGAATAAAATGTCAACATGAGATTGAAATAAATACCTGCACCTGCTAGTTTTTACACACACAAAAAAATGTTTTCAAGACAGTAGGAGATGGCCTTTTCAACCCACACAACCATAAATTTCCGTGACTCTGACTTCCGAGCCCCAGACGCCCTGGGGCTTCCTGAATGTATGCTTCAGCTTGCAGCTATGTCCGTCGACATCAACAGACTCCAGGTCAACAAACGACGCTGGACTGGTTAATTACTACACCGTCAATCTATACATGATGCTCTACTGGAAATCCACAGCTAGCTATCTATAGCTATAGAGCCTAATTCTCATGTGCCTTGCCCGCCATGTAATTTGTTGTCGCGTTTGTTCCTTGGATCAAAGATAAGAAATAGTAGTTCTAGACTGGCTAATCCCATTGTTAGAGTCCGAAGCAAAACGAAGCCTCCCCGTTCGTTTGGATTCTGGACCGTCCGATTGAGCTCCCTGACGCGTCCTGGCCGTCGGATCGCGAGATGGAGCGATCCGGGCCATCCGATCGAGATGGAGCGTTTCTGGCCGTCGGATCGGGTAAAACACTGCCACCGCCGGTAATTTCTACGCCCCACCAAGGGCATTCTCGTCTTTTCACACATGGAGGTATAAAAGCCAGCACCCCCGTGGTGAAACCCTAGTTGCCTCTCTCTTTTCCCACTCTCACCCGACTCCCTCTCACTTCCTCCCGCCCCTGACGACACCACCCTGCCTCTTCTCCTCCGGTGGCCGTCGACCACCCTCCCCGCCCCTTGATTGAACCCTAGTCGTCGCTCCCCGCCAGCCATCCTCCCTGCCCGCCGCCGGCACCACCATCCTCCCCGTCCGTCGCCGTCTCCTGTGGGTAAACCGAGAAAAGCGATCAATCGGGCCAGAACCCAGTCGCCATCCCCGTCGCCCCCCTCCGCCGAGCTCTCTTCCTCGTCTTCCCCGTCTACGACCTCCTGCTACTCTCTTCGACCACCGCCAGCGCCCCACCTCCTCTCCCAGATCAAGGTCAGGCCACCGCATCCCTCCCTCACTTCCTCCCTCCCTTCCTCGCGTCCGAATCCCTAGCCAGCGGGAGGCCATGGCGACCGAGCGGCACAGGCAGCGCAGTGCAGATAACCCCGCCGCCCCTGCCGCCACCGACCTCCTCCCCAGCACGCGCACACGGACTCCCCCTCCTCCCGCCGCGGCCTCCTCCTTCCACCCTAACCCCAACCCCAAATCTAGCCGATCTGACTCCTCCCCTCACCTCCTTCCTCCTTCCACCACTCCAACCTCCACAGAGCCGCGGCCATGGCGACCGAGCTGCCTTCCCTCACTCCCTCCTCGCACGGGAAACCCTACCCCGCGGGCAACCATGGCGACCGAGCAGCAGCAGGCAACCAACCTCCATGACAAGACCTCGACAAGGCTGGTATGAGTCTGATCTGAATCCCCTTTTCCTGTTGGTTTTCCTTCATCTTGATTCGCATCTGATGCGTGCGGTTGCTTGCTTGTGTGCAGTTTGGGGGACAAGGAGAAGCTGCTTGGTCGATCTGGTGAGGATGGACGCCCACCATCTCTTCTGCTGCCAAGGTGATTGTCTCTCCCCCTCTCTTCTTTACCTTGATTTAATATCACCTGGAAACATATCAATTATTCTGAATTTTTGGTTCTTCTAATCTCGTCTGCCAGATTTGGAAATCCCCCAGGTCAATGGGTAGCGGCCATGGATCCAGCAAGAAAAGTAGGGACTTCTCTTGTGGTTGGCGTGTGGGAATTGCTTTGGCAAGAGCTATGTTCATGAACCCAACCATCGTTTTGCTCAATGAGCCTACCAATCATATCGGTGAGTTCTTTTTCTCTAACCCATGTTACAAGCAGAGTGAATCTGGTGCTTTGTATTTTATTTGTACCCAATAGGCCAATACCATGCTCTTCAATAAGCTTTATTGTGACCGACTTTAGAAGGTACATAATTGTTAGTCATTTTAGATCATGCGGTGCATTGACCAATGGTGAATGTGGTAGTGTGACACCTGTCCTGGGTGCACCATGTATTTAGTCCGATGCTTTTCTACAATCTGATTTTGAGTGTCAATGAAAGCATGCCCCCTTTTTTTGTCTTGTTTGAAGGCTAAATCACATCAGTTTTGAACATATTTGTTTGGATTCTTTTTGGGAAGTTCACATTGATTTAATTGGTGGACCTGTGGAGGTGGCACACCCCTAGGGGAATAGCAGCTGCAATACCAGGTCGGCTGAGTAGGCTGGTATCTAAATTTAGAAAGATAACATGTTCAATATAGGGTCATATCTTCAATGCTTAGGCTGAATTGCTAGGTGATTCCCCTATTTAAAGGGTTATATATTATCAATGAGATTAACCAAACTGAACAATGAGTCCCAAAGTATTTTTCCTGATGTACGATGAGCTCATAGTTCTGAAAGTTGATGCATAAAAGTCAAATATTTTTTAATGCCTTCAGATTTGCCAGTTCAAAGGCTCTGCCATGGCTTCCTTTGTCCTGATGAACAGTAATACCCAACTTGCAGTAAGATTGCTTGGCTGTACGAGCAGCTATATTGGAGAATGATACATGTCTTGACACATTTAGGTTTTAATTCCTGAATTTGTTCTGACTTAACTCTGTCTGATATGTGTTCTTATGCTCCTGTCATGATAAAGAATGATTTCCCCCTCTTTTAACTTGATTTAATCTATCCCGGGGACATATCAATTATTCTGACTTTTTGGTTCTTTTAATCTCATCTTCCAGATTTGGAAATCCCCGCCAACCGAGCTATCGTCTGTTCGTCCCTCCCTCCTCGCGCCCGGAACCCTAGCTCACGGCCATGGCGACCGTACGCGTCGCAGGTAGGGCAGGATCTTCAGCACTCCAACACGTTGACAAGGAAGGTATGAGAGTGGCGCGCTGCGTCGTCGGTGTCGGTGCTCTTGGCTGTTTGGCGGCCGACCGTTCTGCTTCTTCTCCTTCTTCTCGCACCCCCTTCTCATATGGAGTCCCCTGATCGATGTTGTGTGTTTTGTGGCGCGCTTGCAGGCGGATGCGGCGACGGATAAGGTGTACTAGCAGCTCACGCTGGTGGAGGAGGCCGAGGTGAGTGCTCCCGCTTCGCTTGAATCTTTTATTGTTGGTGGCTCGGCGTTGGATTGCACATGGTGTACCACTTCCACTTGGGGATCTGGGCTGGCTACCGATGAGGGTTGTTCTATCAACTCGGTTGATTACCTCTTTCATTTGCATTTGGTGGTAGAGATCAATAATAAGGTTTTCGACAGTGAAATGTTGGAGCCTTCAAGACGAATATCATCTCCCATGCATTATTGATTTTGATCAACTATGCATCATTTGCATTAGGTGTTTGAAGTGTAACACTTCACTTTGGTGTCAACTGGTAGTACCTAATCATTGCTTAACTACTTCTCTTCATCTTTGCTTCTGGATATTAGTCTTTTATTTTGAACTTTGAGAAGGTGGTACACTTTGTTCCATCTGAAAGAAATGATAGTAGTACACTTTGGTTGTTAGGTGGTACATAAGAGCATGAATACACCAGTCCTGCCATAACCGTAAGTTCAATTACCGATGGCAGAAAGTTAGCACAGTTTTCCTTGCTCTGGATTATATCGTTGTAGATTAGGTGAAGGGGCATTCATTGCTCTATGTAAGAGTTCCTCTTTTTGGATCAGATGTTCAGGCAAAGCTTCCGTGAGCGTGGATCCGACGAGGTAGAAGACGAGATGGAGGGTGGGGATGCAGAAAGGAAGCCCCGCATGCCACACATGTTCTGTAAAATACTCACCACCGCCGTTTCCTTAGCACACCATTGGCCATCCCTTCATCTGTCACGTTGTAACACTGGGATATAGCATGGTAACATATGGATTATGTTATTTGTCATGTCCATATTTCTTCTTGGTATTACTTATTTTTTGTTTGTTTGGGAATTTCTTGGCTCTAGATGTGAGAGCAAACAAAATCATGTGTTATTATGTTCTTACAGTTTAGTGTTGTGTTACTTTTTAGCCTATGGAGGCATCCTGGGCTATGCAACAAAGTTGACGAGGTTATGAACTTGTTGCCGGTTATGTTTACACGAATTTATTGTTAAGAAAAAACTATATTGATTAAAATTGACGAGGTTGTGTGAGATGTGAGAGATTTCCTTTATTTTCACCTTTTTTTACTTTGATAGATGTTCACTTACTTACAAATGGGTCCACTTTGTAACCTTCTCATTTTTATGATCTCAGGCAAACAATGTTCAAGAAAGCGGAAAGCGTAAGCGAAGCGGAAGGCCACAGCTTAGAGCAATGAGCGCTTAAGCGCAGCTTCGCACTTAAGCGTTTTTTGAAATTGGCTAGAATTTGACAGATTTTGAATGATATACGCATGAAAATAGGAAGCATGGCACATGGGTAATTGAAGTAGCATCTGAAATACAGTTCACACAATAGCAAATACATATCAGGTTAGCATAGCAAGCAAAATAACAACTAAAATGCAGTTCAGTTCAAATAGACATAACCTAACAGATATCATGTGGACAGAATTTTGCCAAAATATGAAGGAAATAGTTCTTGAACATAGCCTAGTAATAAGATAAATAGCATATTGCCATTATTGCGCAAGCATACCAGCAGAAGAAGTACAAAAATTGCCAAATTTTGGTCAAATTTAAATAAAAAACGCTTAATCTACCGCTTAGGGCAAAAGCGAAGCGCTTTGCCATCGCTCAGCGCTTAATCGCGCTTAAGCGTCGCTTAAAAACGCTTTCTTGAACACTGCAGGCAAACTGCTGGTGCTAAAGAAAAGAATGTGCCTACATTTCAGCCAGCTAGCATGGCAAGCGACCCTTTTGTTTCTTTTGAAACAACTTCTACTTCGTCTTGTCAATACCATGATGATTTTGGTTTCTCAATCCTGGTACGAAAAATGCATAACTTCTCTTCTTTCCAATCCCTTGTATATAATGATGCCCTGTGTTTTCCTCTTCCCATTCTGATATAATAGTCCTCTTTTTTATTTGGCTATGTGCACTCTGTATATGCATAGTATTTGGTTTTTAGTTTACACTGCTCTGGGCACTTCTGGTTACCCAACAGGGTGCTTTTTACCACTGAAAATTGAACTTTTAGTCTCTGTTACCCTATAACATCAAGAAGAAAACTAGCCATGTGAGTTCAATGTGCATCCCTGTTTGTGTTTGTAGTTTTGTTTCCATGTTGTTTTAAAGCAACAAGACAGTAGCTAATGTTTATCTGAATTCTGAAGGTTATGAATCTATTAGATTTTGGTGGGCACTGTGCTTCTTGCAAAATCGCCATAGGTTATTTTTGTGTGTTGATTGTAGGCCTACAAGTTGCATCAGAGCTTTGGATTCTCTTCTGAGATTCTATCACTTATTATGGGATGATTTAGGTGGCACTTATACACGAACATCTATCTAATAGATTCGAATGATGAATATTTTCAGATGCCGACAGGCATGGTAAAATATGTTTAGGTAGGTCAGTGCCGAGCATGCTTATTTTTAAACATGAAAGGGTCTTTATATTAGCGGGGTTCTCTAAACGTGTTTTGAATTTCACTAATTTCTTTCAGTTATGCAATGTCCTGCATTTTAGAAAGCTCAAGCTTGAATTGCTCTATTTCCGGATTTAAACCTTCTTTAGTTGTGCAATCACAATTATCTTACACACAGAGAAAGAAACTTGGATATTCTTAATCACACAAAAGGTGTTTTCTTACATGTAGGTGCCTCCTTTAATCTGTGCATGAGCCAGGTTACAGGTAGTTAAGTTATTTAGTTAATACAAATCTTAAATTTAGGTTGTTCGTGTTCTTTTGATTTTGTTTGATTATGATAAGAAAAAGAAGAAATACTTCTATGATGGCAATATGGTCCAGAGTAGTGATTTTATTTTCACAGCTGAAACTCTACCTCTCTGATCTATCTCATATCGTTGAAATTGTGTTTTCTTCGTTTTGTTTATCCCAGGTTGACTATGATGTGCTCATCATTGACTCCACCACCGCAGGTTTTGAGGATGGTACGACCAGACCTGTGAACACGCCGTCCTTGCATTCGAGGAGCTCTGTCTTGCTTGTAATAGCTAAACTATTGTTACCTATTTAATGAGATCCATCGTCAATCTGCTGTATTGACTAAATGTATCCTGCTTGCTTTGCTTTGAAAACATGGTCTCTACTGAACTCTGGTCATCCTTGGCTACCCAGATTGGATGTCTACAAGGAGAATCCAGCCTATATGTGAATCTATGAACTATTATATCGATGATGTGGAGTTATGTCTACATAGCCTGCCTTGCTATGCTTCTGTAAGCTCAATGTATCATTTGTACTGTTCTTCTTCTTTGACTTGTCTGCTCATTTTTAGATAAATTTTCATGTGGCTACCAATGTTATAAACCAGAATTCTCTTTCTAAGGATACTTATGTCGGAATGGTTCATCATATTTGTCAATATATTCTATCCGATTTCCAATATGTTATGCACGTCTAAAACCCATCTTAAATTTCATCTTATTCATAGATAATTATTTGATGTATGACACCGTACTGAACTAATATCATTGCTCTTTTTATATTTACAATGCTCCTACGACTGTTTTTGTTGGAATTTTGCTAGTAGGCCTTTGGCCCAAAGCCCAACTAAAATTCTAAAATTCTCTTGGCCCATTCATGCACACATGTGAGTGGAGTGAGTGAGGTTAAAGTTTAGTCCCACCTCATAAGTTGAGAGAGAGTTACACCTCTTTATAAGGTGAGCTCTTCTACCACTTGTATGAGCACGAGAAGAGGAGACCTACACGCGCGCTCCTTCTCGCCACGCCTCGTCACGACGCGCCGCCGGTTGCGGGATTGAGCCGAGCCGAGGATAGAGCTATGCACGTTTTCTATATTTTTGTTGCTCGGGAAAAATTAATGAGTCATTAATTAATAATTAACGGACGCGTTAATTACTGAACTATTTTCGATTCTTTTGGATCGTGACGACTCGGACGTGGGGTTTACTCCCACGACCTACCCGGCCCGCACTATATAGTCAGGCATACATCTACCCTAGCCGCCGCCGCTTCGTATGGTTTCTCACCACCGTTCTAGATCATTGCGCCGCCAAGCAAGTCTTCTCTATCCCTCCTTTCGGCGTGCACCGGGAGAAGGGACAGCAGGCCTCCGCAACCCCGCCTCTCGTGATCCTGTACGGGAGAGGGGCGATCAGGTTTTTGGGGAGCGCACTCACGCGACTGTTGGCATCGACGACTTCGCGAACGACGAATTCTTTCCCGACCTCGGCAACCTCATCCTCGACGACATGGGCGACAACGTCAACGCCGACGGTGCTGCTCCCGCTGCATCGTATGTGATTCTATCCTTCCTGTTCGAGATCGTGGTAGAATTCATGTTTCTAGTATGTGCCCTAGATGTGATCTGTTCATCTGCTATGCTAGTTCGCATGATTAGTTTAATCTCTGCTAGTGCTGTCATGATTTATCTTTTGTTCATTCGGATTAAATCTCGTAGTAATTTGCTCATATTTCCAACAATCCAAAAACCTGATTATAGGCAATTTACTCTGAGTGGTTTTGCTGCGCATCTGAAGCCGCCTGCCTTTAAAGGGGCGCAATATAAGAGGTGGCGCACGAGAGCAGTCTACTGGTTTCAGACCATGGGCTGCTATGACGCCACCAAGGGCAAGCCTGAGGGCGATCTCAATCCAACACAGCTGGAAGCTTTTGAGAAGATCGATACCCTCTTTAAAGGCGCTCTTCTGAGTGTTCTTGATGACTCTATTGTGGATTCGTATATGTCGTTTGACAACGGCAAGGACATGTGGGCTGCGCTCGAGGCCAAGTTTGGTGCCTCGGACGCCGACAGCGAGTTGTACGTCATGGAGCAATTCTATGACTACAAGATGACTGATGAGCGCCCTGTTGTACAGCAGGCTCATGAGATACAGTCGCTCGCAAAAGAACTTGAGTACTTCAAGTGTGTGTTGCCGGACAAATTTGTTGCCAGAGGCATCATTGCCAAGCTTCCACCTTCGTGGAACAATTTTGCTACTTCCCTGAAACACAAGAGACAGGAGTTTTCTGTTGCGGATCTTATTGGTACTCTTGATGTTGAAGAGAAGGCGAGAGCAAAGGACAACGTGCTCGAGTTGCTGAAGGAGGTTCTAGTGCCCACATGATACAGAAGAAGAACTTCCAGCCCAACAAGTTCAAAAATAACAAGAACAAAACTCAGGGCAAAGGCAAGTTTGATACAAAGAACAAGCCATCACATTCTACCAACTTCAAGAAGAATTCTCATAAGAAGGGGAAGGGACTTTGCCATGTCTGCGGTGATCCTAATCACTGGGCTCCGAAGTGTCCTAACCGCTTTGAGGAGCACGAACATGAGAAGAGCGGCAAGTCCGCTAATGTTGTCATCGGTGATACTGATATGAAGGAATCAGGGTACGGTATTTTTTCTACCATCCTTTCAGTATTCCAATCTCCTGATTGGTTAATTGATACCGGTGCCAATGTACATGTTTGTGCTGATGCCTCCATGTTTTCTTCTTACCAGGCAACATGGACTTCACCCGTGCTGATGGGGAACGGGTCACATGCCATCGTTCGAGGTGTTGGTACGGTTGATCTGAAGTTTACTTCGGGGAAGACTGTGCGTCTGAAGAACGTTCATCATGTGCCGTCCATCAATAAAAATCTCGTTAGCGGTTCCCGTTTATGTCGAGATGGTTTTAAGTTGGTTTTCGAATCCAATAAAGTTGTAATTTCTAAGTGTTGACAATTTGTTGGAAAAGGCTATGAGTGCGGAGGCTTGTTTCGCCTGTCTTTGTCGGATATTTGCATTAAAGTTATTAATAATGTTTGCCACAACAATGAGTCTGATATTTGGCATTCACGATTTTGTCACATTAACTTTGGTTGCATGACGCGGCTAGCCAATATGAATTTAATTCCGAAAATCTCTACTGTCAAAGGCTCTAAGTGCCAAGTATGTGTGCAAGCTAAGCAACCTCGCAAGTCCCATAAGACTGCAGAGGCAAGAGACTTGGCGCCACTAGAGCTTATACATTCTGATCTTTGTGAGATGAATGGCGTGTTGACAAAAGGTGGAAAGAGATACTTCATGACGTTGATTGATGACTCCACTAGATACTGTTATGTGTATCTTCTGAAATCAAAAGATGAGGCTTTGACTTTCTTTAAAAACTATAAAGCTGAGGCAGAGAACCAACTTGATCGAAAAATTAAACGGCTTAGGTCCGATCGTGGTGGAGAGTATTTTTCCAATGAATTTGATCTGTTTTGTGCGGAACATGGTATAATCCATGAGAGGACGCCTCCCTACTCACCCCAGTCAAATGGGGTAGCCGAAAGAAAGAACCGAACTCTAACTGATATGGTTAACACCATGTTAGACACTTTGGGTCTATCCAAGGAATGATGGGGGGAGGCGCTAATGACTGCGTGTCATGTCCTAAACCGAGTTCCCACAAAGCATAAGACCATGACTCCATTTGAGGAATGGGAAAGGAAAAGGTTGAAACTCTCTTACCTACGTACTTGGGGATGTTTGGCGAAAGTCAATATACCAATTCCCAAGAAGCGCAAGCTTGGACCAAAAATCGTGGATTGTGTTCTTCTGGGCTATGCTTTTCATAGCATCGGCTATAGATTTTTGATAATAAAATCTGAGGTATCCGACATGCATGTTGGTACGATTATGGAGTCGAATGATGCAACTTTCTTTGAGGACATATTTCCTATGAAGGATATGTCGAGTTCATCAAATCGGGAGATACCTACTCCATCTAGTGAGGAATTTGCGGTAATTCCTGAACCCACCATTGCGATGGAACACGTTGAGAATCCTGTTGAGGGTGACAATGGAACTCCTGTGAGGAGTAAGAGACAGAGGACTGCAAAGTCCTTTGGTGATGATTTCATTGTGTACCTTGTGGATGACACACCCAGGACTATTTCAGAAGCCTATGCATCTCCTGATGTTGACTACTGGAAGGAAGCTGTACGTAGCGAGATGGATTCCATCTTAGCTAATGGTACTTGGGAGATCACTGACCGTCCTTATGGGTGCAAACCTGTAGGATGTAAGTGGGTGTTCAAGAAGAAGCTTAGACCTGATGGTACGATTGAAAAGTACAAGGCACGGCTTGTGGCTAAGGGTTATATCCAGAAAGAAGGTGAAGACTTCTTTGATACTTACTCACCCGTGGCTAGACTGACCACAATTCGGGTGCTACTATCACTGGCTGCCTCACATGGTCTTCTCGTTCATCAAATGGACGTCAAGACGGCTTTCCTCAAGGGAGAGTTGAAGGAGGAAATTTACATGGATCAGCCAGATGGTTTTGTAGTACCTGATCAGGAAGGAAAGGTGTGCAAGTTATTGAAGTCTTTGTGTGGCCTTAAACAAGCTCCTAAGGAGTGGCATGAGAAGTTCGAAAGAACATTAACCGCTGCCGGCTTTGTAGTAAATGATGGTGACAAGTGTGTGTACTATCTCTATGGTGGGGGCGAAGGAGTTATTCTTTGTCTGTATGTCGATGACATATTGATCTTTGGAACCAAACTTCATTTAATCAAGGAGGTTAAGGATTTCTTATCTCGCTGTTTTGAGATGAAGGATCTAGGAGTAGCTGATGTTATCTTAAACATCAAGCTGTTGAGAGATGAGAATGGTGGGATCACACTGCTTCAGTCTCACTATGTGGAAAAGGTCTTGAGTCGTTTTGGGTATAGCGACTGCACACCTTCTCCAACTCCATATGATGCTAGTGTGTTGCTTCGAAAGAATCGACGGATTGCTAGAGATCAACTGAGGTATTCTCAGATTATTGGCTCACTTATGTATTTGGCGAGTGCCACGAGGCCTGACATCTCTTTTGCGGTGAGCAAACTGAGTCGGTTTGTGTCAAAACCGGGAGATGATCATTGGCATGCGCTTGAGAGAGTTTTGCGCTATTTGAAAGGCACCGCGAGCTATGGGATTCACTACACCGGATATCCAAGTGTACTGGAGGGTTATAGTGACTCAAACTGGATATCTGATGCTGATGAGATTAAGGCCACAAGTGGTTATGTTTTTACACTTGGTGGTGGCGCTGTTTCCTGGAAGTCTTGCAAGTAGACCATCTTAACGAGGTCAACTATGGAAGCAGAACTCACAGCATTAGACACTGCCACTGTTGAAGCAGAGTGGCTTCGTGAACTCTTGATGGACTTACCTATGGTTGAAAAACCAATACCCCCTATCCTGATGAACTGTGATAATCAAACTGTGATCGTCAAGATAAACAGTTCTAAGGACAATATGAAGTCCTCAAGGCATGTGAAGAGGAGACTAAAATCTGTTAGAAAATTGAGGAACTCCGGAGTTATTACGTTGGATTATATCCAAACGTCGAAAAACTTGGCAGATCCCTTCACAAAGGGTCTATCACGTAATGTAATAGATAATGCATCGATGGAG